TGTCCTAATCTGATGATGCATTGGAAAAATATTGTGAGTACTGGAACAAAGATGTTTGTGACCCCTTAACCTGTGTTCTAGGCTCCTTCCATACAGGGAAGTGACAAACACAGTAAGGTCACGATGGGTCCCTTTTTCTGACATACAAATCGGTATACCTAGCATTGCATGCCCCTACCATCTCATTAATCCACAAAAGTCTGACATTTCTCCTTGAGTCTCATTACACTGTTACAATGCTTTCTTCTACCTGCAGCAGACTGATGACATCATCTCCACCTAGACAATTTCACTTGCCTGGAGTTCAAGAACCGCATTTTAATTATAGTAAGTAAAGTTTAAGTATAAGTTCACCTTTAAGATGTACAAAGCAAGGCTGCTTCCTATACATGACACTGGAATCTGGTGTTTTTTTAGGGTTTTATTAATGCGGATGAGCTGTATAAATATTAATATGTATAGAATTCCAGACAGCAGTTCTTCTGATAAATGATCTTTCATCGTTCTGCTCTTTTACTGAGGTGGTTAAGATTGCTATTTATGTTGCATCCTCATTTGTTATCTGCTTGTTTTTTCTTGTAAAGCTGTAACACTCGCAAATAAAATTGGATTTAAATTTTTTTCTGCTCTGCATTTATTTTGCATAGCTTCCAATAAAATTTGGAATTGCCGAGGGAAGCAATCAAGGTAAGCACTACAATAACTTTTCATAGAGTGTGGGTGAGCAAGTGATCTAAATCCAAAAACAAACATGTAATGTATTGCAGCTTTCCAGTCCTTACATATCCTGGCTGCATTCATTTTTTTTAGTCTTTTTCTCTTTATTTCCTGGTTGCCCTGTAAATAACACACTTCCTGTCCCGGGGTGGCTACATTTACTACCCCACTGTATCTATAGAGGAAGTTGTATTTGACATCCAGGCTGGGTTTCAAATATGTCGGTCTTTGTCATGTGTATTACATGGGAGATGGGGAAGCTAGTAGTTTACAGAAGAAAGATAACATTGCTTTTGCTAACAGTTTATGCCACAGGAAGTGACAAGAACAGTGCATATCTGGCAAAGATAAACAGATATTTTATGAACTTGCTGAAAATGTTTTTTGCCTAAAAAAAAACCTATGCAGCTACTACATCTAAGGACTGGTGAGTTGCGATATAAAACATTTTTGTTCTTGGCTTTATTGGCTTTATCTTTTAAGTTAAAGATTACTGCAAGAGTAGTAGGGCAAGTAGGTTAAAGTTTCCTCTCTCATGCCACTTTGCTCGCTTCTTTTTACCATTCCCACCTGCTTGAGACCTCCCCAATTCAAACTTATATATAAAGTTGGACCTTCTAGAAAGTGGTTGATATCTAATATTTCTAATTTTTTGATCACTTTCCATTCCCCAAACATCAATACATGAAAAAGAGGGAAAAGCACTTGGGCTATGATCATCCCATTGCCATCGGATGCAGCCATGTAAGTAAAATTTCCATCTGCATGTTATACAAGGAAAACACTTATATAATGTACAGTATGTATAAGTACTATTTCATTGGTACTACACCCCAAAATGGCTCCACATAATTTATCCCTCTACCTTCAACTACTACTGGAGATGACAGCTAGGGATAGCCTCCCTCCATATATTGGTCATGTCAAATGCCATGTCTGTGTATAGACATTTTGGTCTATCATTAAAGAAATAATCTCAAGGATTAACAGCTATCAGCTACCCCCCTTGATCCCACCCACTATGTGCTATGATTGCTATTTCCCCATGTACCAAAAGCAAATACATTTATCTCCCACATTTTAACAGCTACAAGTTGTCTGATAGCACTAAAATGGAAGCAACCTGCTCTCCCTCCCCCCATACTGGACCTTTTCAACCAAGAGGTACAAATTATGGTGCTCCTATCAATTAGAATACACAACACTCTCAAAAATATAACAATAATTGTGAACCTTGGACCCAAATCTACACATCACTAAAGGAATGGTGAAATTCATCCCTCTCAACTCCTTTTCATGGTTAGACACACATTCTCTTCCTTTTTTCCTCTTTTTCCTCCTAATTTCTATTGTCCTTCAGTATTCTTGGCCTGTCTCTCTGGCAGCAGTGAGTGCCATACATGTTTCACCAAGACCCAATGTATCTTTTCAATCATTTTATATTCTGCATATGTTTCAGCATGTAATTGTCATACAGACAAGCTTACATTATTTATGGACATAAGCCTGGAATTTGTGATCCACACTTAAGTGCTTTGCAGCCTCTACACATCTTGTGGCCCTTCAAGCTCCAGCTGGGCTAGTATCTTAGCATGTATGGTTCCCTATCCTTGTGAGCAAGCCAGGAGTGGTGAAATGTGTCAAAGAAGGTTGGTTTTTGAGTGGAGATATTGCTGTAGGCAGTCAATTCATTAATTATTAAAAAATACTGCAAGAAGAGCTAAGCAGGGTGTGGCTTACATTCTATCATATTCTCAGTTGAGAAAGGAGATGGGCTACTATGGCTGGCATCCTAGTTGTCCATGTATAAGAGAGGCCAGACCAGAGTGGAGCTATGGGTCCCTGTGTTTTTCTAATTTGAGTACATTGGTAAACTTTTTAAGTTGAGTATTGCATACTTTATCAAAACTGCCATCATTGCACCTTCTGAGTTAGTATGTCTTTCTGTATTTGATAAACTTAATGAAAAAAAACAACTATTCTCACTACTATGGAGATATGTTTCTTTGAGACTGATAAGACTTGGGAGCAATTGTAATAGTTACTTATTGGCCACAATAAGTCTTTCTAGTATTCAAAATAGCACATTCCTTGGCAAAATATTTTCTGGACAACTGAGCAGGGTTGCTATTTCCTTTTATATTTGTCACTTTTAGACTTTTGAGGCGTTACATTGATATTATTAGAGGCATTTTACCATCTTATTAAATCTGGTAGCTAGTTACAATACGTTTAACTTGCCAATTTATAAAATGCATTGAATAAATGCCAGAAGTGACATGCAGACAGTAAAAGGGGGTCTGTAACTTTGCTCCCAAGACATAAACCTGTTAACGTCTCTGTAGACAATACAGTACATGGTCTACGCATATCTTGTGTCTTTATGATGGTTACCATGGTGACGTATTGTACTCCTACACTATCTCAGCCCATGCAGCACTCAAAGTGAAAAACGCTCACAGAAAGGCAATATATTTCATGTTGGCATTGTCCTTCTAGGGATTAAAAGATCAAGCTCCCAAACTGGGCAGCTTCTGTTTCCAGTGATAAACAGCCTGACATAAACATGTTGCTGAGCAACCCTCTCACTGATGCACTGATATTGTGCCTCTGCGTCCACAATCCTTCCAAGTCTGCAGAGAGTGGACAATGTAGTTATAAATCACACACACTCTTCTGGGATCTCTGCAGCTTTTATGTGCGGTTTCCTAAACTAGAGGACAAAAATGCTTCCAAGACAAATATCACTGTCTGGCAGCCCATGTTCGCTGAGTAGGGAATGACGCATGACTATTAAGGTTGCCTAATCAATCGTTTTATGGTCACTAATTGTTAAGCTGCACTTATGCACTTGTGCTTGTAATCCTTTTTTGACAATGATCAGCATAACTATTTTCACCATAATCACCTCTACACTTGATTCATCCTTTGCGGAGTTACAATCTATTGTGTCAACACCACAGATAAAGTCTGTGTTGGGGAAAACATAAAGGGCCCTTGTCCAGGGTTCTAACTCTCCTAGGGATCTACAACCTGGACACCTTGAACTCTGTACAGGGACTCTTTAAGATGTCCTGGTTAACCCAAATGCAAACCAGATATGGAATGTATTTTTTTTAAATGTACGTCTACCCAAAACTCTGTTTTATTTTAAAGATTTGAGTAGAGGGGGTAAGGATTAACACCCATGTCAAGCCTTTATTGCTTCAGCTAGAGAAAGTGCCAGCAAGCGATTCTAACGGTTCATTTGTTTTTTTATTTTTTGGAAAATAACAAACATGCTATACTTGCCTGCTGTGTGCAGTGGTTTTGCATAGAGCAGCCTGGATCCTTCTCTTCTCGTGTCCCCCACAGGCTCTCCTGGCCCCTCCCTCCTGTCAGATGCCCCCACTGCAAGCAGCTGGCTATGGGGGCACCCGATGCTCCATGTGTCCACTCACACACGGAGCCACGACTTGGCCCCACCCCTCTCTCTCCTCATTGGCAGACTGGCTGCGATTGACAGCAGTGGGAGCCAATGGCTCCCACTTGCTGTCTCAGCCAATGAGGAAGCAGAGACCCGGGACAGCCGAGGCTGTCATTCACATCGCTGGATTGCGATGAGGCTCAGGTAAGTATTGAGGGGGCTGGGGGCACTGCTGCACACAGAAGGTTTTTATCTTCATGCATGTTCTCCTGTTCTTCTGTGCTGCACACAGAAGGTTTTTATCTTCATGCATGTTTATCTTCATTCATGTTCTCCTGATTTGGATCAACTGATCCAGGAGCTATTTTCATCTGACATTAAAAAATATTCTAAAGCTTTGATAAAGGGCAACATTTTTTGCCCCCCGAAACGTGTTGGCTGTCAGTTGTTCTGTTTTTGCTGTCTCCTATAGAATCAATAAAATATCTTTATGGACTCTTTATGAACCTTTGTTCCTGACATGTTCTCTAGCCAAAACACAAAATATTACAATCCAGACACTGATTCTGGGAGCAACTGTCTGAGAAGGTAATTCTCCTCACTGTGTAGAGATTTACTCTCACTTCCTGTTGCATCTCTGGGACTAGACGTGAAGGAAAATCTCCCCAACAGAAAATACAGAGCCAAACAAAAAAATGATTGGGCTTTTAACTCTTTCCTACTATATCCAAAACAGAAAAAAGTTTTAGGAATACATAAACCTTAAAGTCTACTTCTGAATGAATGTATAGAAGAGATAACAAAAATATTTTAAATTGTTAAAAGCGATTTCAGAAAATACATTTATTTAAATGTACATTAAAAGATATCTGCATACCTGTAATACAATCTTATAATCAATGAACATGTCCATGCTGCTCAGCTCTTCTTTAAGATGAGTTGGAAACACAAGCAAATCCTGGCAATGCTCATCCAGGCAATACTTATAACCATCCAGGTCTGAGGGAGATTCCACCTGAGTGAATCCTTCTTTTTTCAACATGTTTAATACCTCTGTGAGGCTAATTACAGAAGTACAGATCAGCATTAAAACCAATTTTATATAGAAAAACACATCTCAAAGCACACCTGCCATTTGCAGGAAAGCAGGTAAGTTAGGCAGCCAATAGATAAACAGCAAAAGTGAGCAATTCTGATAAAAGTTGTGAAAAGGTGTATAAGAAGACGTGTGACTGTTTCTGGAGACAAAAAAAGATTAATTTTTTATTTTCATTTTATCTAAAATTAACAATGTAGGGATAACAAGTTGGGGAAAACCATGTTGTGCCAGGATGACATTACTAGTATGACTAGATACTGTGGCTTATCTTTTCTATTAAAAAGAATGCATAATAGAAAAAAAGTTTATAAAACAGAAAAACATGAAGGGAAACTTTAAATTGAAATGTCAAAGAATGTAATTATAGATGACTCTAAGGCAGGGGTCCTCAAACTTTTTAAACAGGGGGCCAGTTCACTGTCCCTCAGACCGTTAGAGGGCCGGACTATAGTTTAAAAAAAAAAAAACTATGAACAAGTGCGGACAGTACAGGAGATGCCCAGAGACTGCAGACATAGTACATGAAATGACCAGAGACTGCGGACATACAACGGCGGTGGGAATACTGGGCCGGTCGCTCCATAAGACGCACAGACATTTCCCTCCAAGTGTGTCTTATGGAGCGAAATAGTGCCCCATCATTGGTGTCAGTGGGAAGAATTGTGCCCCATCATTGGTGTCAGTGGAATAGTGCCCCATCATTGGTGTAAGTGGGAAGAATCGTGCCCCATCATTGGTGTCAGTGGAATAGTGCCCCATCATTGGTGTAAGTGGGAAGAATCGTGCCCCATCATTGGTGTCAGTGGAATAGTGCCCCATCATTGGTGTCAGTGGGAGGAATAGTGCCCCATCATTGGTGTCAGTGGGAGGAATAGTGCCCCATCATTGGTGTCAGTGGCAAGAATCGTGCCCCATCATTAGTGTCAGTGGGAGGAATAGTGCCCCATCATTGGTGTCAGTGGGAAGAATCGTGCCCCATCATTGGTGTCAGTGGGAGGAATAGTGCCCCATCATTAGTGTCAGTGGGGGGAGAAATAGTGCCCCAGTGTTGGTGTTAGTGGGGGGAGGAATAGTGCCCCATCATTGGTGTCAGTGTGGGGGGGGGGAAATAGTGCCCCGTCATTGGTGTAAGTGGGGGAAGGGGATAGTGTCCCAACATTGGTGTCAGTGGGAGGAATAGTGTCCCATCATTGGTGTCAGTGGGGGAAGGGGATAGTGTCCCATCATTGGTGTCAGTGGGAGGAATAGTGCCCCATCTTTGGTGTCAGTGGGAGGAATAGTACGTCATTGGTGTTAGTGGGGGGGATAGTGCCCCGTCATTGTGGTCAGTGGGGGGGGGGATAGTGTCCCACCATTGGTGGAATAGTGTTCCATCGTTGGTGTCAGTGGGGGGTGGAATAATGCCCCATCGTTGGTGGCAGGAGTGAGGGAGTGGCCGGAGTGAATGAAGGAGCAGCGCTTCCTGGACTGGATCGTCGTGGGACTGGGACACGGAGCCAGGTAAGATACAGCAGCCCCCTGCCCGCCCCTGTACTTAGTGTCCCTTCCTCGCGGCAAATACGCCCCTGCCAGCGGGCCGGATAAATGTCCTCGACGAGCCGCATGTGGCCCGCGGGCCGTAGTTTGAGGACCCCTGCTCTAAGGTGTGTAAGACAGCACAGGACAAGGTACCACATCTTGCAAATCTCACATGACTAACAAAGTTATGTGTTCTTGTCTCTCTGTGGTCACAAAAAGTAAACCCAAACTGGTATTCAGGAAAGTTTCATCATACCTGACTTTGGCTGTATTGATCCATGCATAGAGTGGCACCATTGAAGCTCTTTGTTCCTGTTTCCGTACAGTCTCTGGCAATATATATTCAATGGTCGGAGCTGAATACTTAATTCTGCATTTTGCAAGGGCAGCAGCCAGTTTGGTTTTGTAGCTAAATGAAGTAACATACGACCATATTCATTTTCTTTTACTTGGCATGTAATGCTTCTAAACACAAACCAACTGCTCCTTATGTTAAAACTAACCCTAATGGAATAATTTACAAAATGAAATTGACACTTGAAGAGTACAAGTAATGACCAGTAAGAATAATGCTGCAATGAAAGAAAACACAGGTGATGGATACTTTCTTTGGTCTCTCAAGAGTTTTGTGCATTTGGGAAGTAACCTTTGCTGGCTTTCATTGCAGCATAAGGCTGCTTAACAGTGGGCGAGGTAGGTATGTGAGGATTTCTAAGTGTCATGAGGTACAGTATTATACTCAGTATTATCTCTTTTATATCTATGACATGGCAATATGAAAATATGAAGATCTGCGGCATAAAGTCACTCTGTGGTCATTTTAAAAGTGCTAAACAGGCAGGAGATAAGAAGGCTGACATCCAGAGGTACCTGTTTGTATGATCACATACACTGTAAATTTCGCTGAGAGCTCTAAAATGAGGGTTTTCTAAAATGTAAATAATGTGTCCTTTTGCTTGAGCCTATCCCCTCCTAATTGTGGTCCATGGCTATGATAAAGGACACCAAATGATAATGGTTTAGGAGTGCCAGTATGCTCTATAGCATCTCTTGTCAACCAGGGTTCTGTGGAACCCTAGGGTTCCTCTAGAGGTTGCTAGGGGTTCCTTGAATTGTGGCTGACTGACCTCCAGTCTGATTGTGCCTAGATAGTTTAAGTCCAATGCCACTAGGCAGATCCAGTGGCATGACACCAATTATATTTTCAGCTTTCTGTAAGGTATTCTGACTGCCACTGTATGGGACATACGGTACTTCCCTGTGACCACCAATGTAAGGGGCATTCTTCCCACTGGTCACCGATATAGGGGATATTCTTCTCTTTGACCACCAATGTAGGGGCATTCTTTCCACTGACAGCCAATGTAAGGAGGCATTCTTCCCACTGACCACTAATGTAAGGGACATTCTTTCCACTGACCCCCAATGTAAGGGGATATTCTTCCCACTAACCACCAATGTAAAGGGGGCATACTTCCCATTGACCAACAGAGTAGGGGGCATTCTTCCCACTGATTACTAATGTAAGGTAAGGACATTCTTTCCACTCACCCCCAATGTAAGGGGATATTCTTCCCACTAACCACCAATGTAAAGGGGGCATACTTCCCATTGACCAACAGAGTAGGGGGCATTCTTCCCACTGATTACTAATGTAAGGGTCATTCTTTCCACTGACCCCCAATGTAAGGGGATATTCTTCCCACTAACCACCAATGTAAAGGGGGCATACTTCCCATTGACCAACAGAGTAGGGGGCATTCTTCCCACTGATTACTAATGTAAGGGACATTCTTTCCACTGACCCCCAATGTAAGGGATATTCTTCCCACTAACCACCAATGTAAAGGGGGCATACTTCCCAATGACCAACAGAATAGGGGGCATTCTTCCCACTGATTACTAATGTAAGGGGAATTTTTTCCACTTACCACCAATGTCAGGGACGTTCTAACCTACTGACCATCACACACGTTTAATATGTAACATGGCAACATGAACTTAACAGAACACTTTAAAACCATACAAAAAATATTTTAAAAAATGACACAGCCTACTTATTAACCCATTTGCAGTATAATGTGGGCAATAAAGGCACATACACCCTTTAAGAAAGCATCACAGATTGCATATGATTCACCGAGACTATGACTGTACTTCGTTAGCTCAGTTAACTGAAAAGCTTGAGAAAAGGCATTAAAGTCATCTGAATGAAGGGCAACTTGAGGGGTACATAATTTTGCAAGTTCATACAGGGTCTTGTGTTTTGTTTTGTTTTTTTTGTAGTGCATGCAAATGACTGTCCTCATGAAAGATGAGTCTCTTCTTCCCTCTGGCTTATTAAACATATTGGGACTGAAATAGCTATGTGAATGACACCCAATGCATTCAATAAAAAGCTTTATCTGAACATTATTGTGCTTTGATTATATTTAGCTGTCCACATTATAGATTTCACTTTCACTGCGAGTTTATGGCACATCTTCTACTGGGTAGATGTTTATTACATCCATTAACAATATATATGACTATGGTTCATAAGGGACGCCCACTAGAATAAGTTCTAGTCGAATTAAGACAGAGATCCAGGGAGATAAACACCAGATGAGCATTTGGAAACTGGAGTTTTATTTTATGGTCAAATATTACAGAAAGTAATGGAATGAGAAAATGAAGAGTATAACAAGAAACTAAGACTTGCAATAAGAATCCTCCTTAAGGGGCCCTAACAATAGGAAACAAAGTATGAAGAATTTGTACTTTGAAATAAAAATTTCATGCAGCCAATAAAATAATTCAGTGAACTGCTAATTTAACTCAACACTGCAGCTTGATCAGTGTTACACTTTCAAAGATTTTATGCCGCTGGATTAGGCAGGGACAATGCCTTTACAGGTACTGCAGACTGTTGTCACTCAAGCTGAGTAACCTGAAAGATAGGCGCATAAGCCCGGGTTCACACTGATGCGGTGCGAAATTTGCACCAGTTTCTGTGCGATTTCTGCACCACATGATAATCGCACCCCGTTCACACACAAACCATTGCGGGTGTGTATTTTAAGTTAACAACCCCCCGAAATCAGTTTGCAGAACGTGTTGCGATGTGCAGAATCGGATCACATGGGTGTGAAGATGCAATCTGATTCTTGTGCGGACCAAAAAAAGGGTCCTGCATCTTTTTGGTGCAAATGTGGTGCAATTTGAACCATACAAAATGTATGGCTCAAATTGCACTGCACAGAATTCGCATGTGATTTGCACATTCCTGTGTGAATCACATGCGGTATGTTGCACCGCACAAGTGTGAACCCAGGCTAAGGGTGCGGTCTGGCGGGAATCACAGCTCTGTACTGCAATGCTTTTTTTTTTTTTTTTTTTTTTTAGCAAACTTGTCGCACAGACATTAATTTACTTTAATTGGCCGCCACGTGGTGCAAAGCGGTGCCTCACACTGAGTTGCTGTGCGCTGAAAAAAACGTAGTACATGCACTACTCTTTTTCAGCAAACCGTGCCTGTACACCACTGTAACGCAGCGGTGTGAATGGGGAACACAGGAGGCAAGGGATTTTGCGGTGGGACTGTGCCAGAATAAACGCTCAGCGCAGTCCTACAGCATCTGGTGTGAATGGACTCTAAAAGTGGATTGAGCTAGTGCATTACCATCAAAAAACAATGATAAAACACTGTTGTACTCAGATGTAGCAAAACAGTGAAACGTTTTTTAGTGGCCAGGCTCCTGAGAGGAACATTCAATATTGTAGCCAGTAGTATGGCTCTGTAACAGACTCCTCAGCTCTCCTGGTGTAGAAGGAACCCTCCAAACACTCCTTGCTACATGTGAGCAGGGCCGCCGATAAGGGGGTACCACCGGTCCTCTTGTAGGGGGCCCGGGCCCCATCAGTTTAACAAGGGGGCCCGGACAGCTTCATGGCACATTATAACGTGCAGGCAATGCATGTTCAGCTCCTGGAATATGTAGTAAAAAAAAAAATTTCCCTGGGCTCCATTATATCATCAGAGGGGCCCAGATAATAGGAACTATTTGTTAAACTTCGTCTCGTAGGGATACGGCGCTGCACCTGTACAGCTCCGTTCCCGGATGGCGGAGGGATATGTGAGAGATGCTCACCTGTTTTGCTCCCTCAATAACTCGTGCCACACTTTGCACAGCTAGGGATCGTGAGTGGCGGCAGCGGTGGCAGCAGGCAGTGCTGATATGTATGTAGAGTTGCCACACAAGGACTTTTATTCATAAGGGTTCCCATACCTGGGTATAGTGTAAGACAGCACACAAGAGGACCATCCATGGCTGCAGAGTGCAGATTATAGCTCTATGAGTGCAAACACTCTGCAGCCATGGATGATACACAGCCACAGCACCTGTCTCACTGTGCTTTTGTGATCATCATCATTATCATCATTATTATTATTATACAGTATTTATAATGCGCCAATGGTTCGCTCAGCGCTGATTGTTTTACATCATGATGATCACATAGTACAGGTCCTGTACTGTGTGATCATGATGATGATCACACATAAACACAGTGAGATCATTTCTTTTAGGCCACATTTACACTTGTTTTTGGGAGTGGTAAAAACATGACACTGCATTTTTACCGCTACCCTTACGCTGCAAAGGCAGTAGAGGGTGAGCACATAGGCCGTGACTGCAATGCTTTTTGCATAGCATTGCTTCCTACGGTGCCTGGTCACATATTCCGCTGCACTGGCAGTGCGGATTTGGTGCAGACTGAAAAAGAGTCATGTCCAATTTCTGAGCTGTGCGGTCCGGTTCAGGTGCGAATTACGGGCTATTGACTTCTATGGGAACCCTTTCTATACCGCACATGTATGAACAGGATTAAACTGTGACCAGAACCTGATGTAAACCTGACCTGAACCACTGAACAACTACTCTGTAGATTAGCTGTGAAACCTGAGCTTCAATCTGCACTGCACATGTGTGAATCAGCATTTACTGAAAGCTGAAAGACTTTGGTTACAAGACCTTTAGCCCTGGTTCACACTGATGTGGTGTGCGGAATTCGCAGCGTTTTCAGAGCGAATTCTGCACCGCATCACAATCGCACCCCGTTCATATGAACCGATGCGGGTGTGTATGTTAAGTCAACAAAACTCCGACATCGGTCCGCAAAACGCAGTGCAATGTGCAGAATCGGATCACATAGGTGTGAATACCTATGTGATCTGATTCTAGTACAGACCAAAAAAGGGTCCTGCATGTTTTTGGTGTGGTGCGAATAGAGCCATACAAAATGTATGGCTCTAATCGCACCAGATACAAATCGCATGTGATTTGTACAGAAATGCGGTGCGGTTACTGTGCGAATCACATGGGATTTACTGCACCGCTGTAGTGTGAACCTAGGCTTAGTCCTCAAGCACACTTGACATTTTTACAGCTGCTGTTGTTGGCATTTGATGTTTTTTTCTACAGCCAGTAAACCCCCTAGCATGTTATCCTATGTGTCCATGCACACATAGACTGTAATCAACGTTTCTTGGCTGGGACATAGTGGGTTTCTAGAGGAGTTTTTTTAAAATGCGGCAAGACGCAGTAACATGCTGTAAAACGTGGTAAAACGCTAGTGTTGTGGTATAGGGGCCCTGCCAATTATTCATTCTGCTTAATCCTCTCATTAATTGCTTGTGCCAAACATCCCTAGATTTAATTGCTGTATGTCCTCCGTGTCATCCTGCCAAATGGCCCAAATTCAATTAACATAGTTTCCTCCTCCCTGTCACCTTGCTAAATGTCCTCAAATTCCATTAAACTATTTCCTCCACCAGGTCCTCTTGATGTCCCCAAAAGCCCATTGTCACCTTGGCCCCTCAATGTTATCCCCTGTCTCCAGCCTAGCTCTCCCCACTGTCAATTGACCCCCCTCCACCTCTCATCCTGCCGCACAGGACAAGAGGTGTGGCTTTCACCACCCCTGTCACTGTCTTCTCCCCCTCCGGCGCAGCCGAAGAGGAGAAGGTAGCGAGGTTCACACCTCTCGGCGGAGAGGTGCGAACCTATGTGGCCCCTGGGGTGTGGTCTGTGGGGGTGTTCCAAGCTGCGGCGTCAGGCTGACGCCACCCCAGTCCTGTCATCCGCAGTGCGGGTACGGGAAGTGCCCGCGCTTGCGGATGTCCCTGGACAAAGGTCGCGCTCACGAAAAGCGTGGCCCGTGTCCAGGGGGCGTGCCTCGTTGCCAAGCGACGAGGCACGCCAGCTTTGGCCCTCCCCGGTTGCCAAGACGACCGGAGAGCATCCTACATCAGCTTAAGAAGCTGATGCCGGGCGCTCCGGTCATTCTTTCCGCTGTGCAGCCATCAAGGGAGCCCAGCTGCGGCGGGACCCTTGTGGCTATAGTCTGCCAAGACCCCCAGCCTAGGGGGAAATTGCCTGCCCGCCACCTGTGACCCCAGTTTAGGGGGGAGAGTGCCTACCAGCTGCCTTAGACCCCAGTCTAGGGGGATTGCCTGCCAGTTGCCTGAGACCCCAGTCCAGGGGGGATTGCCTGCCAGCTGCCTGAGACCCCAGTCTAGGGGGAAGATTACCTGCCAACTGCCTGAGACCCCAGCCTAGGGGGAAGATTACCTGCCAGCTGCCTGAGACCCCAGTCTAGGGGGAGGATTGCCTGCCAGCTGCCCGAGACCCCAGTTTTAGGGGGAAGATTGCCTGCCATCCTGCCTGAGACCCCCAGCCCAAAGGGAGAGACCTCTTGCCTATTCTGGACCCCAACAGGTACCTGTGTCTTACTTTCTACCCCCGGGAGACCAGGCACCCTGTTGGATCTGTGAGCATATGCTTATCCCTGTTGTACCTGAACTGTTCCGGTGATGACCTCTACCCCCCTGTTGGATTACAACCTGTTACAGAGACTTTTCCTTTGCTCCCGGTACTGGACTACAAGTGTTTTAGCCCCTCCTTGCTGTTCCCCTACTGGCAAGGTCACCCTCCCTGCAGTCCCCCCATTGAGTGACTGTCCTTTTTTGTCTCAATAAACCTTTGTGCGTGTGCCATCTGCTCTGTGTGTTCTGTCCTGCCTACCCTCCATCACAGCTGCAAACCGGCATTTTTGGACTTTTTTTGAGAAAACCTTTTTTCTGCAAAAAACGCAGTAAAACGCCACTAATTGTGGCAAAATGCCGCTAAACGCTAATGCAAAAAAAGCTAAAGAAAGCTGAAAAACTCACGTTTTTAACATGACTTTACACAGCTAATGTTACCAGCGTTATCAAAATGCCCCGTGTGCATGAGGAATTATGGCCTACACATGGTCATTTTAGACTTTATTGCTCAGATTTTCTATTTTAAGTGTATTTTTTGTCTTATATGTGCTGAGTAATCTCCCTTTCTTAAAGCTACCGCTTTTTTATGTAATGCTTTTGTAGCCTATAGTAGGAGTAAACCAGTGGCACGAATAAACTGTTCTGAATAATCACCAATGTTCATAATTAGGCACTGGGGAGTTGAATCTTTGGCCTATGGAATTACAGGCTGAAGATGGCCAGACACTGTAAGAACTTTCATGTTCCACCCTATCAATTCCCCTATCTCTGCTAAATAGCATGGCTGGAGGAATTTTCCATGGCAGCTATTGTTTTCAGACAGCTGGCACCCACGGCTGTCAGAACACCCAAACAGTGATTGCATCTGATTGGATGCAGCCAACAATTTTCCACCTGGCTCCTTCCATTCAGCTGGTTCATCGGGAACTGTCCAAAATTCGCTCTGTGTATGGCAATCTTAAAGCAGAACTTAACCCATAAAAACATCTTTACCTTTCCTTGTTTCTCTCCCCTGCCTCTTACAGAAATGGATGTTCCTCTATTCACTAAAAGACAAAATATTTTTTTTGTGCTGCACAGCAGCACCTCCTGCTTTCTGGCCTAGGCCAGAATGACTTTGTGCCCCACTGCCTCCTGAGATTCTCCATAATTTAATGCAGAGCACCAGTGCACTGCAACATTTTGCATATGCACAGATGTACTGCATTTGTTTTGGATAAATTAGAGACCAGTGACACATGTACACACCTGAAGGGCATTTTCACTCATGCGCAAACAAGCCACAGGTCTCTGCAAGGTTCTAAAAATGGAGACATCTGCATATGCGCAAGATAATTAAAAATGATGGTGCTAAAGACAAGCAGAGGGATAACAATATCCCGGGGGGAACTTTAAGGACTTGGTGTTTTTACGGAAGACCGAATGCATTGAAGGTAAGAACAGTATACACTGCTTCTTCATTCTACTATGGAGAGAACCTAGTTTAGGGAAAGTACAGATTTGCTTTAATACACTGCACAACGGGCCTAGAGAAAGCACAGCAAAACTATAATCTCTTTTTATCCATCTCTTTCTCATGTGCATGTAGGCAGCCATACAGAAAAGTCCATAGAAATACTGTTTGTTTATGTAGAATTGGAATGACAGATCCAGTAATACTTGTGCATACAGTGACCGAGGTGGACTGCCAAGTGACGGATGAAAGGATGACTTTTATCACAGAGTAAATATCAGTCTTATTCCTCATGACTTTGGAAACATTTTGTCACACAATAAGTCAACAGTGTCTTGATGGCTATAGGAAAAGAGTGCTTGACAGACGTATGGAGCTGCAGCAACACTCATATTTGCCAAATCTATCCTAGATAACATCTAGTCACCTTACTTATCGTAAAGGTGTTTAGAAACGTACATCCTGCTTGAGCTGACTTGGGCTCTAACACAGGGACCATATTTTTCAAACATGCCATTTAGTGTAGTCATGGCTAAATCTGTTGGATGTGGAATCCTTTTGCATAAGGTGATCTTTGGGATTGTGTGGGTGACAACAGAAGTGTGTGCAGCACTATGGCAACTGCAGATCTAAGTAGAGGCTAAGATGGCACCATCTTCGGTAGACAGGAGGATAGGAGGGTTTTGTTTCACTTTATATCTCCATTAGAAAATGCAGTACAGGGTATGAGATCAGTCATTTAGAGATGGCACTGAGTATAATCGTAAATTCCTATGATATTTAGAACCATCTAGTGGCCAAATGTGGTGTTTTCTATTTTAAAGTGATATTAAAGGCTCTCTTTTTTATTTTTTTAAATAACAAACATGTCATAATTCCCTGCTCTGTGCAATGGTTCTGATCCTCTTCCTCTTGGGTTCCCCGCTGCCGACCCCTGGCTCCTCCCCCCTGCTGAGTGCTCCCAGAGCAAGCCACTTGCTCTGGGGGCACTTGTGTCTATAAGACACATACAGCTTGGCTCAGCCATGCCTCTGCTCACTTCTCAGAGGCTGTGATTGACAGCACTGGGAGCCAATGGTTCCTGCTGCGGTTTCTCAGCCAGCCAATGAAGAGAGAGAGACCCAGGAGAGCCGAGGCTCCTGTGCACATTACTGTATCAAGATCTGGCTCAGGTAAGTATTAGGGGGGCTGAGGGGGGGAACAGCACATAGAAGGTTTTTCACCTCATGCATAGAATGCATGGAGGTAAAAAAAATCTTCAGCCTTTACCACCACTTTAAACCAACAAACGTTCAACCAGCACAGGAAACAGCCTAATACCATTCCTTTTTGCCCTATTCACATGGAATACCCTTTTTGAGTGAATTGCTGTGTAAATGTTTTATAAATACACTCCACGTTTCTGTAAATGCTCCACATAATTATAAAATGACTCTCTAGTTCTGTCTATGTGAGTCTAGCGCTATCTCCTCTAGTATACATTCTGTGATATAAAAATAACTCACCCACACAAAAAGTTTTCTACTTCTCGTACATCTTCTATCACTTCATCATTGTTTGATATGTAGCGTGGCTGAAACTTGTGGTCTTGGAAATCATATAACATAACCACCACTAAACTAGTCATTTCATCTGGCTAAAGTAAAACAGAAACAGATGTCAGTGAAAAGAAAATAATATTACAAGTATCCTCCTGCGCTCAATACAGGCAAGGTCCCTATCTCAACAGCTGCTGTCACTCTACCTTAACCATTAGGTAACCAAATATATACAAAAAATAGTGAAGCGCTTAATAAATAAACATATATAACTATATATATATTAAAGTGCCATCAGTGAATATACGTGCTACGTGTTAATAATTCCTTATTAAATGCTGGAGCATTTACAACCAAAATTATATTTAAAGTAATTAAACAAACCAAACTGAATTCCTAATTTATCAGTGATAATAAACACACCAGTGACAAATAATCTTATGACTCCAAGGGGTTCCTTAGTCTCCTTCACTGTTTTAAATGAAAAGTGCAATAATTAAAGGTGAACAAGTGTATACAAATAAACTTTTTTTTAAAAGTGCATATACAGAACATATATATATGTATAAATCATATATCATATATATATAAAATAAATAAAAAAAGTCCATGCAAGTGTAGCTTGTGATAGAACAGTGATCTTCACTTCTAGTGCTCAAACACAAATCCTCAAATGGCAGCAGTGCCTGCTCACCTCCCCACACTGACCCTCAAGGGGCCAAAAGGCTACTGATCTCCTCTATGGCCAAACTTTCTCCTCCTCCTCTCGGTAGCTCAGCAGGTGATCACAGGGTCTCCACTTCTCCTCCACTCATATATCATATAGGACACAAAACAGAGCTTCCCATAGTGTAATATTGTTTAATGTAAGCCACTTCTAATTACATAGCGGTTGTACTCACATTGGATTTCCTGTTACAAAAGCCTTCCACCTCATCCCATAGGTGTATCTTATGAACACAGGGGGAAACCAATATGGCCGCTCCGTTCGGACATGCGTCCCACGTGACCGGAAGTGACGTAGTTCCAGACCGGATATGGCGTACCGACGCGTTGCGTCACGTGCGTCGTGACTTCATCAGGGTTCAACCCTGGGAAGCTCTGTTTTGTGTCCTATATGATATATGAGTGGAGGAGAAGTGGAGACCCTGTGATCACCTGCTGAGCTACCGAGAGGAGGAGGAGAAAGTTTGGCCATAGAGGAGATCAGTAGCCTTTTGGCCCCTTGAGGGTCAGTGTGGGGAGGTGAGCAGGCACTGCTGCCATTTGAGGATTTGTGTTTGAGCACTAGAAGTGAAGATCACTGTTCTATCACAAGCTACACTTGCATGGACTTTTTTTATTTATTTATATATATATGATATATGATTTATACATATATATATGTTCTGTATATGCACTTTTAAAAAAAAGTTTATTTGTATACACTTGTTCACCTTTAATTATTGCACTTTTCATTTAAAACAGTGAAGGAGACTAAGGAACCCCTTGGAGTCATAAGATTATTTGTCACTGGTGTGTTTATTATCACTGATAAATTAGGAATTCAGTTTGGTTTGTTTAATTACTTTAAATATAATTTTGGTTCTAAATGCTCCAGCATTTAATAAGGAATTATTAACACGTAGTACGTATATTCACTGATGGCACTTTAATATATATAGTTATATATGTTTATTTATTAAGCGCTTCACTATTTTTTTTGTACATATTTGGTTAGTGAAAAGAAAATGTATCTCTATATGTATTGCAAGAATACAAATGCAAAGCTTGCATATATCATTGAAATATATCATTGAAATATTGTTATGATGATTTTTTAGTCACAGTTTCTAAATTTAGATCAGGGGTCTCCAGACTTATCAGTATGAGGGCCACATTGTATATTTTATAAATATTGGTTGGTAGTCCGAAAAAATCTCCATCAGAGCCCTCTTATATCAGAGAGCCCTTTACATTAGTGCCCCCATCAATATCCCCCATCAACCCCCAGTCCCCCCTTACATCAGGGTCTCCACCACAGTCCCCATTACATCAGAGTTCCCTCTTACAGGGTCCAAATACGGATTGGGGGGGGTGTTGAAGCATAGACCATAGAGGGCAGACTCTGCTGACCTTAAACTGATGTTAAAGGCTGTTTTGTTTTGGTTCTCAGGTCCCCCTGCTAGTGCTCCTGGGCTCTCCCTCCTGCCAAGTGCCCCCAGAGCAAGCAGCTTGGTATGGAGGCACCCAAGCAGGCTCGCTCCCGAGTCACTGCTCAGCGTGTCCTTTCACACACGGAGCAGTGAATTGGCCCCGCACCTCTCTATTCTCATTGGCTTACTGGCTGTGATTGTCTCAGCCAATGATCGATCGATTGCTTGCAATGGGGCTTAAGTAAGTATTAGGGAGGACTGGGGGAGCTGCTGCACACAAAAGGTTTTTACTTTCATGCATAGAATGCATGAAGGAAAAAAACCTTCACCATTTACAACCATTTTAATCATAATCAATCTGTTCACATTGGGGATATGCCACTGACACTAGCTGAGGGCCAGATAAAATCTTGTAGGAGGCCATAATTTGGAGACCCCAGATTTAGATGCAAGCAAAATAACTCCACTTTACATTCAACCCTCCCTCTTGCCCTCCAGAGCATGTTCCAGCATTCATTTTATACTTTTACCTTATTCCTGTATCTTTTTTTACTTCATGTGACATCATTACCAGGCAGGTAAAATTCAGGGGCAGCTGCTGTAAACTACAGGGTGCCTTGTATCAATTTCCATTGATGTAGGCACACCCCCATAACTACATCTCTCAAGAGCCCTTTCCCTTCACACAGTGTGTGAATGAGATATTGGGAGTCAAAGCAGCTGCATTATGTTTCTGGGTGAAAAATCAATGTTTGTAAGCAGAGAGAAACAGAGATAGTGGGTCTGGGATAAGTGGAGTTCAGTATTCCAGCAGGGGGAGAACAATGCATGGGATAGCAGTGCAACAGAGGTAGTGTTGCAAGCCTACCACAGAATGTTAGGAGTTCAATTGACTTTTGGCAGGATTTACAAGTATTTTACTGTATTTTCAAGTTTTAAAAATAAAATCATGGGGAAATGTGGATTATAGATGCATTGCACTGTTTTTTTTTATTTTTCAACTATACATATATAAGAACTTACCAGTGGCTGGGACTGGTAGAAGCCACTGACCAGCAAAATAGTCTCAAGCAGATCTTGATCTGTTAAAAAATATAAGAATACAAACAAAAAATAAAAAAACACATCAATAAACAAACAGAGTATTGCAATTTTGTAGTGCAAATATAGCTAAAGGGGCAAAAATTATCCATTATACTTCAGAACCTGCTACAAAAGCACAATACAGTATCATGCAATATATATGCAATTATTATATTCAATATAATAAACAGAGTATATATTATAAGTAGGATTACAGAGACAGCTAAAAGACATTATGATTCAACAGCTTCCAAATTTAAAAATGGTGTCAGCAAGGGGAAAGAGCACATTTCTACCCCAAAACTGTAACTACTTCACACAGGCACATCTACTTTAGGATAAATAAAAAAATGTTCCACTGGAAAATCTTTTCAGGTGATAATGAGCAATATTATTGCTTTCACCAATCTATTCTTCCTGTTTTTCACATTTCATGTGCTGTGTATGGTGGAGCTTTTGGGCTTCTTAGCATGTGCTCAGTATTTAGCAGTACTTGTATTTGCTTTCTAGTAGATGTTAGGTTCTCATTATTATTATACAAGATTTATAAAGCGCCAACAGTTTGCTCAGCGCTTTACAATATAATGGGAGACAATACAGCAACAATACAGTTCAATACAAGAGGGATAGGAGGGCCCTGTTCCTTGGAGCTTACAATCTAAGAGGAAGGAGCTAGTGGTACAAAAGGTAATAACTTTGGGGGATGGACTGGTAGGAGGAATAGAAGATTCCATTATTAGCTGAGGGCAGGATAGGCTTCCCTGAAGAGATAGGTTTTCAGAGATCGCCTAAAAGTGTACAGAGTAGGCAATAGTCTGATAAATTGGGGTAGAGAGTTCCAGAGAATGGGGGAAGCTCTGGAGAAGTCCTGGAGATGAGCATGAGAGGAGGAGACAAGGGAGCTAGAGACCAGGAGGTCATGCGAGGAGCGGAGAGTACGGTTTGGGTGATATTTGCAGACAAGATTGGTGATCTAATTTGGGGCAAAGTTATAAATGGTTTTATATGTTATTGTTAATGTTTTGAATTTTATCCACTGGGCAATGGGAAGCCAGTGTAGGGATTGGCAGAGAGGGGTGGCAGATATGGAACAGTTAGTAAGGTGGATGATTCTGGCAGCAGCATTCATGAGAGACTGAAGAGGGGATAGCCTGTGATGAGGTAGGCCAATGAGGAGGGATGTACAATAGTCAAGGTGAGAGATAACAAGGGAGTGAATAAGTTGCTTAGTGGTTTCCGAGGTTAAGAACGGTCGTATCTTGGAGATGTTGCGGAGGTGAAGTCTACAAGACTTGGACAGTGATTGGATTTGAGGCTGAAAGGACACATGGGAGTCCAGGATTACACCTAGTACCCTGGCATGAGGGGAGGGACTGATGGTTGTATTATTGATCTTGATGGAGAAGTCAGGGGAGGGGGCACGGGCTGGAGAGAATAGTATGAGCTCAGTTTAGGAAATATTAAGTTATTAATATTGTATGTATAATATGTCACTTAGTAGGTTAGTAATGCGAGAGGAGACTGAAAGGGTGAGGTGAGGAGTAGAAAGATACTTTTGTGTGTCATCAGCATAGAGATGGTACTTAAAGCCATGGGAGTTTATCAAGTGACCAAGAGAGGAGGTGTAAATGGAGAAGAGAAGGGGTCCAAGGACAGCAACTCCACCACCTTTCTGACCACTGGGTCTGGCTGAGTGGGTCCAGAGAAGGCCTCCATAGGAAAGTGCTGCGGGAGAAGAAGAATCTGATGCTTGAAGCCAGGTTTCTGAGGCATTTGAGTTATCAGTGCAAATTCTAATTCTGCAAAAGCTGGTTCCTGGCTGTGTTATTTGCCCTTTTGCTTTAATACTTTATATCCCTTACCTGGTACAAGAATGCAAATAAGGATGTCTAAAGCTGGCCATACACTAATATTTGTCTAGTTCAGCAGGGACCAGACGAATTTTGATCATTTGTTCCAGCTCAGTAGAAGTCTATCACTTGATCAACTTCTGTCAAAGGGACATGTTGAAAATGTAATTGTTATTCGGCTGTGGCTGCTGATTGGTGTTCTGTAAGTGGCGGGTCCCCACTGTCAGAATACAAAGTCCTGGAGAGGGGGATTCCTCCATCCACCTTGTTTCTATGGATGGAGGAATCTGTTGTTTTTTTTTTTCGATCAGCCTTCTGACTGAACAAAAAAAAAACTGTGCATGGCCAGCTTAACTTTATGCTGATTTTACAAATGTGCATACTTTCCAAAACATTCCATACTCTCCAAGGTTAGTGTAAGAGAGTTCCAGCAAGAAGATTCCCGATCGGGAACACGCATGCGCAAAGAAGATCCTGCAGACGAATTGTCGCTCAGACGCATGCACGCAGGAATGCACGCACATGTGCAGACGCACGGCAAAGATTGGCACCAGACGGGCCATTTAAGGAGCACCTCTGCCCAGATTCAGTGCTGACTGGTCTTCAGCTCCCCCCGTGTCCTGCTTGCTCCTGTCCGTTTACCTTTTTGCTGACCCGGCTTGTTCCTGACCCGACTCTGAGTACTCTCTTGTCCCCGGTTCCTGACTTCGGCTCTGATCCTGACTTTGGCTTTTCTTACTGATCCTGTACTGCGCTGCCCGACTGTTATGACCCTGGCTATCCTACGACTCCGCTCCAGTCCTGTGTCCTACATACATGGCTCTGCTGTGCATCTGGCAATCCACTGAACCTGCCTGGTCTATTTCTACAGTACCCAAATCAGAGGATATCCTGCCTACCAAGGTCATCATATGCAAGAGCCACAAGCAAACTTCTGGCGCTCTTGTCCCCCTGGTCCCTAGACTCCCCCTGTTCCAACCTCAGTGGGGTCAGGGCAAGTGACACAAGTGAGGTCGACTTCGTCATTTTAGTCTCCCATCAGGTACGTGACAGTTAGTGAGTCAAACCTTAATATACCAAGCTGATCAGTGTAGTATCCTAACAACCAGTATCTTCAGAAGGGGACTGGGAATGGTAGCCCCCATGTGTCTCTTAGGAAAGGTTTGCTTTTAAGCCCTGATACCCAACCTGTGGCCCTTTGGCACTTACTGTGCAGCCCTTGGGGCCCATGCAGACAGTGGTCTGTTTTTTCGATGCTTACCCAAGCAAGCAATGGAAAAGTATTCTTTAGACTGGAGTAGTAGATAAAGTGTATCTAAATCTGAAAGTAAAAATGTAATATATTGTAGTTTACCAATCCTTGTGTGCAGTTGTTGCATCAGTTTTCTTTTTATATTTCTATTCTCCTTTCTTTTCACCTAGTAAGCTGGCCAATACTACACTTTCTACCTTAGGGTGTCTCCACTCTATTTAGGAGCAGCAGAGCCACGTTTGGACAGCAGCACTGTCAACCTTTGGAGAGGGACTAGCAAATTTTGGTAACCTTGATGAAAATTAAACTTTAACTTCAGGTAGCATGTTTGTTTTTTTTCCTTTCATCTTTTACAATAGATGGTGCTGAAAGAAATATCATATGTGACATAAATCATTTTTAAGATGGCTGTAAGAATCACAAATGTGGAAGCACCGATTTATACCTTTTAGACTGTAAGCTCTAATGAGCAGGGCCCTCTGATTCCTCCTGTATTGAATTGTATTGTAACTGTACTGTCTGCCCTCACATTGTAAAGCACTGCGCAAACTGTTGGCCCTATCTAAATCCTGTATTATATTAATAATAATAATAAAAGGGCTGTAATTGGCATTGTCTCTGACTGTCTCCTGCAGCATACCTCCATTCTCCAGTAAGTCTTATAGCATGTCTGCAGTTATGTCTGTAAAATAAATTGAATAATATATGTGGCCATTTGGTAATGTCAGGGTTCATACTTGAGGCCGTATATGTCTAGTAAGTTGACCGCCACTGCTTTGAAGTAAACTTTGGCTAGAAATCAGCAAACAATTTTTGGCTTCTGGGTTGCTGTTTCTAATATCTCCCCCTCTTACCTCTTCTACTTCACTATTTTCCTAACACTGTGATGGTTAGCTAAACAGTAGTGAGGCTTGTGAACATGGGAGTTGGGGGGTAGGCTAATATGGAGATATTTTATTTGCACCACAGAGAAGCTCATTTGTTTGGTGTTCAAGGATCTGCAGGATATCAGGACTGGTATGCCTGCAATTTAGTGCAAGTCAGAAATTGCTCACTGTGTTGATGTATGTCCTTGGAATATCTCAAACTGTAATTTGTCTCCTTGCTTAGGAAAATCCCATTATGCGTGGCAGTGTTAATTTAGCTTGTGACCAGTGGTAGTTTTTGTTTTCACCTGGTGTGGTTTGTTTTGGAAATACTTTCTGTATTATCAGTATTTACAAAGTCTTATCATTAGAACACAATGCTGATCAAACATACAGTATTGGTGCGCTAGCAACAAGGACTCCATAATTACCAGCAGTAAATCACCTCTTAAAAACTCCTGTTCATGAACTTTTCCACTTATGTAAAAAAGAAGAAAGGTAAAGAAGTCTAGATGGCCCAGCAGGCTGTTAAGACTGCTAAAGCACCTCTAGGTATACCTAGTGAGTATACCCAAAAATAAGAGTGTGGAATACTAGCATTCCAGTTGTATGAAGAATCAAGCCACTATTCTCTGATGTTTATTTGTAATATAGGAATCTTTGTGTCACTTGTCTTCCTCCACCATTCTCCATTTCACCCTCCAGAAGTACCTGTCCCATCTGAATTATCTGCCCCAATTTTTCTTACCTGTCCTCAACTATGAAACCTAATTTAAATACTCCACAAGTTGACCAGAAGAGTTCTTTAATTTAGTTATATATTTTTCTCTTCTTTTCCCCTTTCTTCCATCCCCTTCATACAGATCACATTAGTTATAATTTCATATGTCTCCTTCCCTTCTCTTTTTTCCCCCTCCTGTTTTTTTTCTTTCTCCTTTCCACTCTCTTTTTTTTTTCATCCACGTGACACATTAAGCTTTTGCTACAAGGACTGTTAGAATTAGTATTGTTTTTTTCGCCCGTATTCCCCTCCCCTCCTTTTTTTATGGGACTATTTCAATGCATGCAATACAATACTTAAGCATATTGTTGCTTATGCCTAACTGATGAAAGTTCGTATGTATAAGTTTATGTTCAGCTGTTTTTTTCTACATTCCAAACATGATAGTTTGAGCTTGATTTCACTTTTGTATATTTTAATATCCAATTCTCTTACACATACTATTGTCCATGTTTCAATACATTGTTATGTGTGGAGATACGTTCATATCATTGTTATACGTATAAAAAATGTTTAAAAAATACTCCACCAGCCCACCAATAAACATCTCCTAATGTATCACACCCTACTTTAATCAGGTTCAAACTGTCATTAGCTCTATATGTTGTACCTTTGTAAAAGGTCAGCCCAGTGCTCTAAACACATTTTTTCAGTTTATCCCCATTCCTTTTTTGGCTGTCAAGTTTTTCACCAATCTATCCATTTTTCAATTTCTTTACTTTCCATTGGTAGACTATGCTGAAATGAGGAACATTTAGGAGAAGAACGTGAAGTGTAGCAAAACCTAACATCATCATTTGATAGGTGTCTCTAAGTGACTTTTCTGTAATTTTCTCAAAGCACACATAGTTGTTGCCTGACATACAGATGTAAATCTGTATTATTCAGTTTTGTGAAGGCAATATGGCTCAATGTATACCTAATGACAGTATGCTAAAATTTCCTAAGGAACATCCAAATGAGACACTTTAAGACATTTAAGCCATGAAATGCAGGAATTAAAAGGGACTTGAAATGCACTCTACTAATGCAGTCCTTGCCTTCCTGTCAGTGGCAGGACACTGCAAAACCTGAGGCAGGATTTCTGAGCTCCATTCAGTACAGTACACATACACTGATCTAAACTTAACCTTCCCAACACCTATAAAACCTATTGCAGCTCATCAACAAATTAACTCCTGTAGTTAAAGGTCCCATCCTTTATATCCCCTCCAAAGCTAAGCCCCCAACTCCTAAACCTACTCATATTTACACGTCTCCCCTCTCCTACAGGAGATGTGTATTAATCTCACACTTCATAAGATAAAAAATATAATACAATTCCACTAACAGTGCAAGTGCCACTGTTACACTGTTTAAAAAAAACTAGTGAATACATAGTAAAAATGTTGTAGACAAAGCTAGGTGCTGGGACTATTATTCTCTATAGCACCTCCAGTTGCAGGCACTTAATGTATTGATATTTTGAAAGTTAATGTGCAGGGTGGGTAGAAAAACAGATTTCATTTTTTTTAATTCGAATTATGATTTGTAACCAAATATGATGCAGCTAGTACACAGCAAATTTTTATTTATGTGAATACACTTCTAATGGAAGAACCATTGTATGAAATATGAATTGCAAAGAGCTTACGTCAACTAAGAATATCTTTTGTCCCAGAAGAAAGACAAAGAACAGTGTTACATTTCACAGGTTTCAAGAACATGTTTTAGGACTCTATACAAGGTTGATCTAAGTAAACAGAAAACTGATTCATTAACAGTGTAAATACAGTACGTGCAATATTGTAGAACTATACTTGTTGCACAATCTATATTGTCAGTTCCACTTGAACATACAGTTCTTTGTAGTGGTTTCTTGTGGTGTTTACCTATCAGATGTAAGAATAGTCCATTGTGTTAATGAACACAGGCAACCAGGAAATAAAGCCTGCTTACCTTTCAAGTTCAAATAATTCATCAACATTTCAATATGAAAAGGGCCAACATACTTCACACAAGTGTACAAGTATACATTTTCAAGACGACATAAGATCACCCACAGGGATCTAAAAGGAAATATTGAATAGAACTCATGGGCTGCTCTTGTTTATATATCTTTTTGCAAATGGTAGTTGCCCAGCATTCAGCTACAACACGTATATGTCTTAGTTTAGTACACATGTATCACATGGAACTAAGGCCTGGTTCACACCTATGTGTTTTCGCAGAAACACACTACAGTCCATTAAATATGGTTTCCTATGGGACACATTCACATCTAGATTTTTTCAGCACTTTTTGGAAAAGGTCAGGGACTTTTTTGGAAGCAAAACAGTGCTTTTTTGGTTCAATAGACTTCAATGGAGATGCTGCAGAAAAGCATACTGTGCATTGTAAACATATTTTTGATGCGTTTTGTGTTTTTTTAATCTGGCCAACAACAAATTGGTAAAAAAAATGCATAATAAAACGCAATAATAATAATAATAATAATAAAATACAGCAAAAAAAGTGTGAAAAACATGTCACAAACGTGTGCAAAAACGCAAAATGCACCGCAAAAAGCACTGCAGAAATGGATAAAAAGTAAACTGCAAAGGTTTTAACCAAGCATGAGCTACTTAGTCTACACCTGAGCTGTGAACCTAACCCTTAACTTTGACTCAACCACTAAGTTTAACTGTCAACTGTACATGGACCCTACATCTAACCCCTACCTCAGCCTAATCCTTATCAATAATCTGTTAATGAACCTGCCAAAACATGGAAATTGCCACAGTTGCCTTATTTTTGAAGGTGCAAGCTCTGTAATCCTCAGCCTCATCTTTCTTTCATGACTTTGTATGTCAAAGACATGGAAAACGCATGTGCATTTCAGATGTGCTAGTCCTTTACTGGCATATGTTTGTTTCAGAGCAAAGAATCAAAAAGTAGAAGGTGTGAGATAACAGCAACTGAAAATACACCCTCTAGAACAAGCCCTTGAAGTATATATAAACCCTCACCTTGTAAAACAACCCATTCAGTTTAAAATAAAAATAATAGGTGTATAGATAAGATAAAAAATCATAAACACATCCCCCCCCTTTTTTATAAGTGATCACAGTCCCTCTGTTCTCAGCTGCATAAGGAGAAACAGCAGCACACTGATCTTCCCAGTGAAAGGCTGTGAATAGGAAGTGTGTTAGCACAAGTCTGATCATTGGAGAAGAGCAGACTTGAGTTCCCAGCACAGCTAGAGAACTGACCACAGTTCTGCTTAGTGCAGTCAGTTTTTAATAGAAAAGCAGGCACCAGAGCTGCACCAGATTTTGCACTCTCCAGTTTTAGTAAATCAACTCCTATATGTCCATGCACACTATAGGCATTTTCAGGAGTTTAGTGGCAGGGGAGTGTACAGGCAGAAAAAGAAACCCTGAAGGGTTTGGGTTTTTTTTCTGCCTGTAAACTCCCCTGCCACTAAACTCCTGAAAATGCCTATAGTGTGCATGGACATATAGGCTAACATGGAGGTGAGTTAACAGCCAGAGAAGTAAAGCTCCAAACAACTCAAATGCCTGTAAGAGCAGCTTCTTTGAGCTTCAGGGTACATTAGGCCTAATTATATAACTAATCAGCCTACCAAAAATGCTACCTATATTTCCTGGTGTCCCAGGAGGAAGTTGAGTGACATTACCTTTGCCTAGGCAAGGGGACTGGAAACTGGTGTCTGCTGTACATATCTTGATTTTCTTCTCTTACAGATTTGTATGATTTAATTAGCACTTTTAGATGCAGAGATGAGGGCTAAAATATAGGGGTCGATTCATTTTTTTTCATGAGAGCTCCATTTTAATGCAAACATCAGTCTAAGCCTGGTCATACATTATACAACTGTCTTTAGAAAATTGCTTTAGATTTACCAAAAACCATATAATATGAGGTCAAACTTAAACAACACTTTCAATTGTATCCAATTAAGCAGGCCTTTGCACTACATAGTTGAAGGTAACTCTAAAGGAAATTGGGCAGAAATTGGACAGAAAATTGTATAGTGTATGGTCAGCCTAACCCTTAAACATAACTCTAATCCTCAAATCAGGTGTAACTCTACCATTTGTAATTAAAACATGTTCCTAATACTAGTGCTGATAATATAATTGTGCTGAACTTTTCAGGCACCTTGGCAAACCAACATAATACATGAATTACACAAATTCTGAAGCTGCTATACACGGGGACAAATTATCAGTACAGGAAAAACTTTACCATAATAGCTGCACTACATGAAAAAAGTAAAAGTATCCATAAAAGCCCATTCACATGTATGCATTGCAGTAACGTATGGTAAAATGGACACCACAATGTATGGCAATACACAAGCCATGGTGCGTTGGAGGTCTATTAATTTTGAATTGCATCCCAACACATTAATACAACACACCTGTATTGCAGCTCACTATAACACGTGGAATCAGTACATTGTGGTACACGGCTTCACAGAAAATGGGGCATGTCTGATTTGTACTGTTTGTTGTGATGCATTTTCAAAGGCGCACCTTAATGCTATGCACATTAACGCGGGGCTAACACATTTTACCGCTCTGCAATGCGCTGTATATCAGTGTGCCCTAAAAATGTATTACTGCAAGCTTTCATGGTGTGTTTATTCTGATGATGTAGAATGTTTGTGTAATTACTTACATTTCAGAGCATTAAAAGCGAGCTCATAGGACCAGCGCTGCAATCTTTCATCTTTGAAGTCTGGCAAAGGCATCCCAGAGTCACTGCCATAACTGACCAGGATCTTATCTGGAGGTTTCGTCCGATGAATATGCTGGAATATTCTGGCAGCATTGAAGAATACCTGGTCGGGATAATTTACTTTTTCTGTTGACCAAGTTGAACTGCCCCCTGTAAAGTCTACAGTGGTAACATTTGACAGTGGCTCCATTGACTGATTTGTGCTGTTTGGAGCTAGATTTCTTCAAAAGCTCAGAATTTTGTTGATCAATAAAATATCCAAAGCCTAAAACAGAAGATTACACCATTTATATTTACTTATCATGATAATTTTAGATTTAAAGTAAACGTCACAAAGGTCACACATTTTGTTCACTAAATTTAATATCTTTTCAGGGAACCATAATACTGTAAATTAAAAAGTATACGTAGAACATAGGTAAAACAGAAAACATTTGCATATCACTAAAAATAATATCTTCTTTTGTTAAAAGAAAATCCCAAAAGTTTTAAGGTAAATGGTCCGCATAATTTCTGCAAAGACGTTTGAGGTTGAATTACTCCACAGTGCCTCTGGCCACAAAGGTCAGTAAGGGATTGTTTTAAACCTCTCTTAGTACCTATTAGGGTTCGTTCACACTTGACTTTATTTCTAACTCTTGCCAAACGCCCCTATAGCGTTTGACAAACATTAGACAGGCGTTTGTGAAGCGTTTTTAATGCTCCACAAATGCTCCCAAAACATCCTATGCACGGTTTTGAGGCGGTTGGTAGGCATTTGCCAAGCATTAAAACCGCACCACAAACTCCTATAATGAAGTTTAAATGGTATTGATGCTCCGCAAACGCCTCGCAACCGCGTCACAACCACACCGCAAACACCAGCCAGGCGTTTGTGGAGCAGCACCATAGACTTGAATGGGAGACTTCAACTCCTCCTGACTTGACCAGAGGCGTCAGTTTTGCCAGGACACAATGCTAATGCTTGCATGTGAACAGCACTGTGTGCTGCTATGTGCAGAATTTTCAGAGGTGTTTGAGAAGCGTTAAAAATGCTTCCCAAACACCTGTCTGATGCCTGCTGACAGAGCGAGTGTGAACGTAGCCTTAAGAATATGTAAATGCTTGAATGTTCATAACCACAGGCTCAAAGTACACCTGAAATTATAGAAATATGTTTGCTTCTATTCCTGATCTCTCCTTTTCAGCATATTAGTTTCCTGGCTTTCATGGTTTGGGTTTAGCTTCAATGCTTTCTGAATCAATGACCTGGAACAAGCATAAAGATAAGATGTTCTGATTCTTTTCTGACACTCATTTTTATGCTTTGAGTCTGTGACTTAAAAGTATTGAAGCTAGATCCAGCTAAGCAAGCAGCATTTTCACAGGGAGGTCAGCAGTTACAAGTGATCAGACCAGGGTCATACCACACCAACTCAAGTCTCACAACTATATATCCAAATACATACAGGTATAATTATCAATAATATATGCATTCTTGCCAACTATCCCAGATTTGAGGGGACAGTCACATTTTTGTACTTGGTGAAGTCATATACTTATCTGAGTCCCCCGCATTCAGGTCTCCCACTAAAGCCTGCAAGGACCACTAGTCCAGTGCTGCACATCAACCCTTGTCGGCTGGTCCTCTTCATGCCTCTTGGTCCTGTCAGTCCTCCACTGGTCAGTCAATAGGAATTGTCTGTGTCATGCAGGCAGTGCCATGGACACTCAGAAACAGGACCTATCCAATTAGTACATAGAGGGAAGAAGGACCTGGTACTGGATAATCACTTGACCATGTCTTAAAGTGACACTAAACAATAGTCGTATTCTCCAAAAAACAATTCTTGCACATCCACAACTTAATGGCCCGGTAATCTATTTTTCATGACATTGTTTCTTACCTTTTTAATCTGTGCCCGCAGTCATATCAAGGTCCTGGATAAGAGTCAATGCTGATTTTGAAACATAGGCACCCATGTATTTGATAAAGCCTTAAATTTGTGTGTTATGAATTCTCAACATCAATTTTTCCAATATTTGTACATCTTTCATTCCAGTAGGTAAGTTGTGCATAGTGGGAGGATTGTGGTTAGACAGCATGTTATCATGGGGACAAACACCTCTTTTTAACCATGAACAATAAAATGCCACTCCAATCCCATCTAAAGGCATCTGTATTTAACCAGACTGATAAAACCAAGCTTCTGTTTTCTGTGCCCAATCAATGTATATCTCTGTTTTTTTCTGTGACTAATCAGTGTTATTAATGTGGCTAATAAGTGTATGCCTCTACTTTATTATGATTAATTGAAGTATCTATATCTCACTACAGCTAGTCAATGTGTGTCTCTGTATTTTAAAGACCAGTCGATGTATGTCACTCCTTCACAAAAACAGTTAAGGCATTCCTTTAATGTATCACTTCCAATCAATGCTTGTCTCTGCTTTACTAGAATTTGTCAATGTATTGCTCTGTTTTATTATGGCCCATTGAATGTATGTCCCAGTTTTCTGTGACCTGTGAATGAGGATCCTTGTTTTATTATGATCTGGTGATATGTGCTTCTCTTTTATTGTGACCAATCAATAGGTAACTCTTCTTTATTAAAACCAGGTAATAAATGTTTGAGCTTTACTATGACCAGTCAATATGCATCTGTGAGCTTTCAAGGTCTGTTTTATTAAGGTCACCTTAAGTATGCCTGTTTTTACCATTCTGAGGGAAAAGTGCCTGTTTTATATCATAATTAGTTAATATGCGCCTATTTTGTATATAGGTAGGAATGAAGGTATTCTAAAATCATGAATGTATAGTGTCAATAAGTGTATAATGGAACTCAGCCAGGGACTGTGGTTAATATTTTTATTACAAACAGGGTAAAAGATCCATGTGGTGCAGCCAATTCTTTAATTTTACTACAACCAAGTGATATTGGTCATATTCTTCCTATTATCCATTAGTATGTGCTTCAATTTTACAATGGAGCTTAAGCCTTAATTGCAGCCAAAACTTTTTATTAAGGCTACTTTCACACTGATCCATAGCATATGCGTTTTTGCCGCATTTTTATCATGTTTGCAGTGCATTTTTTACAAGATATGTGACTCAAAAACCACATTTTCTATTGAGTTCAATGGGCAGGTGCATTTTTGATGCGTTATTTTTAACACACCAAATATGCAGCAAGCAGGATGTTAATAAACTAACTGGATCAGTATGAAGAGTTCCATAGGAATATATAGTCACACATTTTTCTTCTGCTTTTGTTAACGCAAAAGCAGAAGAAAAACTGATCAGTATGAAAGCAGCATTAATTTTGAAATGGAAGGGTCAGAGCCTATGTTCTGTTTTTACTGTTGGAACAGGAAGTTATGGAAAATATGCCTAATGGTGGCAAAATCACAATTTCAGTAGCATATGGTAGGGTTAGAATTTCTGACAGTTTTTCAGATTGATATCTGTACTTTCCTGTCCTTGTCATAGCAACACGGCCAGTGAATGGGCATCACAGAGAAAGGAAGTCAGGGAAAATTCCCTAGTTGGGGTCAGATATAAATATCTGATATAAATATATAAAATATATAAAATATATATAAATATCTGACTTCAATTTTAATTCCCCTATTCTATTTGAAAAAAAAAATGGCTTTAACACATGTTCACATTCCGCCTTGACTAATCAAAGTATCAGTGTCATCACTGAATGTACATTCTTTACTACAGTATATTAAAAATCTGAAGAATAGCGGCTGTGTTTCCCATAGCATAGACTGAGAATTTCCAATTTCTGCCTGCCTACTTTCTATGTAACAGAAGATGATACTACATGGAAAGTTTGTGTGGCTTTACACTGCCCTGCTCCATTTTAGCCACTGCGCGGGTACAGTGTAGTGTACCCGCAGCTTTCATGCAGGTTAGCTGCGCATTCCCATATACTTCTATTTTTGTTCAGCAGTTTTGGTGCTCTTTCAGGAAACGTATCAAGAAATAACAGGAGTCTATGAGAAAGCGCAGCTAACCCGCACATAAAACGCCAGTAGACTGCGCTGCGGCCAAAGTGCCGAACAGTGTGCAGTCAACCATAGACACATGATTTTTTTTCAAAGGTTTACTTTCTAAAGTATGAGGAAAAAAGCAAAAAAAAAACAAATGAACAAAATAAGTGAATACAAAAAACCCCACATAAAATACATTGTAAATATATATATATGAAGTGGCAGTTGTATATAGAAATCTGTCCGTTTACCTCCGCCTGCATCCGATCCGCTAAAAACAGATGGATGAGGATCCGTTCCCCATCCGTCCAGCGGATCAGATCAGATGACAGTCGGATGTAAATGGTAGGGCGGTCTGTTTATATCAGACCACCCATAGAGGAAAGCAGGCTCTCATCTGCCTGCTCAGTGGGGATCAGCAAATGGATCCTCTGCTGAGCAGGCGGATCCGCTGGCGTATTCCGCCCATGTAAAAGGGGTCTAAGTAAAAATAGAAATAATAAATAAATAGATAGGTATTAATAAATATATAATAGAAAGTGTCAAAGGGGAATTCCAACCAAACAGTTACACAAAGTTTCATGCACATATGTGAACTATCTCACCTGCAAAGGATTCTATCCAAGACACTTTTGTGATGCATACACCTCTACTAAACAGCACGAGGGTGACACTGACAATTTTGTTAGTAGCTAAAGAGGAACTCCAGTTGTTTTTTTATAAAAGTAAAAGTCACCAACCCAGGAGTCTTGCGTTTCTTAACCAGGACCGGTTCTTTGCTGCTCTTTGGATCCCCAGTGCCACCATCTTGGCTGTGGAAGATGGCCGTGACTTCCTACTGGGCGTGGGCTGACAACTCATTGGGCCCCCAGGCAAAAGAGGATCATGGGGCCCCTGTGTCCTTGCCCACACTCAAACCACACCCAAAAAAGCCTATGAAAGGTACCAGGGGCATCTCATGGGGCCCCCTGCTGACCCTGGGCCCTCAGGCAGTGCCAGAGTGCCCGAATGGTCAGTCCGCCCCTGCTTCCTACTGTTTCACAGCAGACTCCCCACTGCGCATGCATAAGGTGGCACTACTCTGTCAGACTGGTTCCGCAGTCTCCTGGGATGTGAGATGTGCCCCGGAAGGTTGCAAGTGGGCAGAGATGGGTCAAACCTACATAATTCATGCCTAGGCAAGCATTGCAGAGGTGAGAGAGGGTACCT